ACTACTACTACTACTACGACTACTACTACTACGGCGGCTACGACTACTAGTACGACTACTAGTACGACTACTACTACTTCCTACTGCTACTACTACTTACTACTACGACTACTACTACTACTACTACTACTACTACTACTACTACTACTACGACTACTACTACTACTACTACTACTACTACTACTACTACTACTACTACTACTACTACCACTACTACTACTACTACTACCACTATCACTACAATTACGCCTACTACGACTAACAGTACCACTCGTAGCAATCGTGATCGTACGGTCTGAGGGTTTCCTGAAGTTCCTGGCGGCTTGTTCAGGATTCTTGAGGGTTCCATTGGGATTCGTCAGGAGGCCTTGGGGATTTCAGATTATTCTTTAGGCGTTCCCCTGTTTGTTTGGGGCAGCTTATGAAGAACATCCTGGAGGCTTTTCGTGGCGCGCGATAGTTGTACTAACTAGTCCTCGCGTTCGCCCCGTGAGATATGGGACAACGTTCTCGTGGCGATGTTTGCGAGAGCGCTCGCTGCCGCTGCTGGCAGGGGACGGTTTCGCACCATCCCCAGAAAGGAGGGGGGGGGTCTGGGGCCCCCCGCCCTCCCCCCCCCCCGAGACAATTGTTCGAAGGGTTCAGAACGCTGCCGCCCCCCGCAAAGATGATCAGGGGGGCTCAAAACCTCAAGCCCACCCCTCACCCCCCTCGCAACGACGACGACGCCGACGTCGCCGCCGCCAGCAAACGCCGCGGGCGACGACGACGACGACGACGACGACGAAGAGGAGGACGACGACGACGACGACGACGACGACGACGACGACGACGGAGGACCCACGACGAACAGAACGACCACGACCGCGACCACAGAATGACCACGACCGCGACCACGACGACGACGGCGACGACGCCGACGCCGACGCCGAAGCCGCACCGACGACGACGCCGACGCAGTTGCCGACGCCGACGCAACCGACGACGACGCCGACAACAACGACGACGAATACGACGACGAGCAGAATAGATCAGGCGTACAGTAGAGTATAGTAGGACTAGAGTAGGGTAGGGTAGGGTAGAGTCGAGTAGTGTAGGCAGGATACGGTATGGTAGAGTAGAGTAGGGTAGGGTAGAGTAGAGTAGAATAGGGATATAAATATATCATAATAGAGTCGACTAGGCAAGAGTAGATGAGTAGAGTCGAGCCGCAGTACAGTAGAGCAAAGCAGAGCTGAGTAGAGTAGAGCACAGTCAGGGTAGAACTGGCGAGAGGAGGAGCAACAAATTCGGCACAGTGAGGCAGTGTATGTTAGGGTACGGCAGGATAGAGCTGGAGCAGAGTAGGGTAGACTCGAGTGGGTAGAGTAGAGGGGAGTGGAGTAGAGCAGAGCAGGGTAGACTCGAGCGGGTAGAGTCGCAGAGCAGGGCAGAGCAGGGCAGAGCACAGCAGGGCGCCGGTAGGACACTGGGGCCAAGCCCCAGTAGCATTCGGAGCCGGCGCCTGGAGCGTGCGGGCTGGCGACGGGTGCGCGCTTTCGCCGACGTTGCCCCCGTCGTCGGCTTCGTGCCGCCGTCGTCCTCGTCGTCGGCGTTGCCGGAGGGGGGAGGGGGAGGTTTCTCAAGTAGTGGCGAAGCGTCCTGGCTCGCCTATAGCCCCACCAAACAATGTTTTAAGAACCTTTTGTGGTCTGCAAGAAATGTTATGAGAACATTTCTGGCTGGGACTGTCTTGTTTTGACACAGCTGGGTTATGTTCTAAGAACATGGTTTTTTGTTATTAGAACATTTTCGGGTTCTAAGAACATGTCGTGGCAGGACTATAGGAATGCCGGGACGGTCGGTCCCTGCTCAAGTTTCGGGAAATCGTGGATGATTGTTCGGGATGGGAGGGGGGGGGATTCTGGGCCTCGCCGGAAAATGGTCCCAAGGGGGGGGGGGGGGGGGGGGACCCTCCTCTGTCCTTTGGGGGTTGGGCGGGGGGGGGAGGGGGCTGGCTTCTGACACCCCCTGTCAGGGTTCCGTAGGGGATGGGCGGGGGGGGGGCGGAGGCGGAGGAGGAGGAGGAGGAGGAGGAGGAGGAGGAGGAGGAGGAGGAGGAGGAGGGGGCCCCTTGGTTTCTGACCCCCCTTTGCATCTAGAGCTCTTTCAGGCCAGCGACGGTGGATGGCGCTCCCTCGGGAGTTCCGACGTTCGTCCTGGCGTGCATCCGATGCAAACTGGGTCGCAAGCTGCTGCGCGAGGCCTTCGGAACGAGCCTTACGTCGGGCATGGCCCTCTACAGGAGGCATCTTCAAAGCTAGTCAAAAGTAGTCTAGTCTAGGGATGACCTTGTGTGGCGATCTTCGAGCATGCTTGGCTATGTGCAGTTCTTCTCCCGACCTCTGCCCGTAGGAGGACGTGCCCGACCTCAGGTCACCCCCCCCACAAAGCAGGCCTCGTCGCGCCGATGCTTCGCAGCTCTGCCTTCAGCCCCCGCTCGGCGCCTCCGCCCCGGAGGACCGCGCCTGGCCGCAGAGCGCGCCGAGCCGCGTCCTCCCGGAGGGCGCCGGCGTCGCCAGCGCAGCCTCGGACGAGGAGGCTCGCGGCCCGCGGGCGCGCGGCCCGACGGGGGGGAGAGAGCTCGGGGCCCGCCTGCGGAGGGCGGGAAGGCAGGAATGGAGGAGGGGAGAGAGAGAGAGAGAGAGAGCAACACAGACAAAGCACACAAACAGATTGAGAGAAGCCCGTTCGCGTCGGAGGTGCATCGACAAGGCGGTGAAGCATGCCGCTGGAGTGCAGTTCTGGCGGCTCTGCACAGTGAAGCCATGGAGACGAGGGCCCTTTTTTGTAAGAAAGTGCCGCAGGGAGCTGGGATCGATGGCTCCAGTCGCGGATTTTTGCGACGTTGCATTTTTTCGCAACGCCGTATCTCAGGGTAGAACTAGAGGAGGAGGGGTGAGGAGGTGCAGACTGCAAGGCTCGATGAGTCGCCAGCAGACTGTCAGGGGCACCCGCTGGGGCTTCCGAAGACGGGCGGTCCCGACACGGAGGCCCCTGTGCCACGCAGGTCGCCGGAGCCGCTGCGGGCCGGAGCCCATCACCGAAACGCGCCTGGGGTCTCGAGAGGTCTTCCGGGTCTGTTGGGGAGAGCCCGTCACGACGCTGTGATCGCCGATGGCATGCGTTCGCAAACGTACCCCGATGCCCGCCCATGGGTCCACAAGGACAGTAAGAAGTCCGCTCTTTGGGCCCGAGCGTGGGCCAGACCACGTCCGCTTCGTGGCACGCGCGCTGTTACGACGTGGCGGGGCCGTGAAGAGGCAGTCCGTGCTGGAACGGCCGAGAACGGAGTGCTCAAACGCGAGAAATTTGGGGCCACGAGCAGTGAGGTGGTTCTAGACAACTCAGGCACATCTCGCTGTCATAGCTGAGCCTTGCTCGACGGGGCCAGGCTTCAGGGCGGCGAGCGCATGACTGCGCGCAGCTGAGCGGGGGGTCGCAGCTCAGGAGACACGTGGTGCACAAGCAGCAGACGCCCCCAGCAGGCGTCATGGTTGTTGCCCGTTCCCGCCTCCTGCTCTCTGAAGCCCCCTCCAGGATCGTCGAGGAAGGCTCCCCCACGCCCTCGTTGCGTTTCATGTGTTCGCGTCGTTTGCGCGGAGCGTGCGTTGCCACCTGTCAGTATATATGGATACACATATAGAAAAAAAGCAACGCAATTCAGTACCATACCATGCAGTATAATATAATACCAAATAACGCGATGCCGTATAATAGAAGACAGCTCAACTGTCATAATATGATATATTGTAGCTTATTGCGTTATAGTATAATAGAAGCTAAATATAGTGACATCTGGTGTATCATACGTGATGCCCGAATGAAATGATAAATACTATTCCATAATATGCTCAAAATATAGCGCAATATAATTTAAGTTAGCATAGTGCAGCGTCCTATGATTTGATCGATTATAAGATGCAACCATGTAGTATACGATACATAATATTGCTTATTAGCAAAATCGAATACTAGATGGTTCAATCGAATAGCATATCTTCTAAAACCGAATATCGCAAAACAAGACTCTCTTAATCGCAACAGCAATATATTACTACATAGTATGCTACAATGTGATAGTCTGCCAGGTAGTATCTACCATAATATATAAGAAGACAAATGGGAGTCGAGTGCCATATCATATGGCATGTAATCTAGTGTCACCTATAATACAATAGTTTATGGCATGGCATATCACATTCAAATATAATGTTATATGACATGTGTTTAAGCTAATTTAGCAGCACAGAATATACTATAAAGCAAGACAACACACTATGATATATCTATATATATGTATACATATGTACGTGTTTTATGGTACACTAGTTTATATTATGCCATAATATAGCGAAATGTACTACAGTGTATTACCGCATGATAGCATGCCATGTAAGATAATGTAGTCTCATATGACATAACATATGCGCAGGCGTTGGCCCTAAGGGGTCAGCTCTCAGACTGCCGTCAGAACTCGGCGCGGTTTTCCCGGACGTTGGAGGCCCGATCATTGTTTGTGGAAGTTGGAATGTGTTATTATTTGAGTTTGTGTTTGCGGAGTTCCCTGGGCGTTTGAAGCTGGAACTTGTGCCCCTGCCTGGAGAGTTCCCCGCGCGCGTGGGGTGAAGGGCAAAACCAGCATGATTGTGTGCCTGCTGGTCAGTGGGCACGTTGAATACGCGGCTGAGTTTGCGGGCTTGCGCGAGACGGACCCCTGGGGCACCCGCGTGGGTGTGCAGTTGGATTTGTGCGCGGCGCCCGGGGCCCCGTGCACGCGGCGGCCCCGCGCCCCGGCCGCTCTCGACCACCCAGGGGTCAGAGGGCCAGCGATTCAGGGGTTGCGTTGTCAGGCTCGAGCCAAGTTTCGTCGCGGGAGTCACCCCGACCGCTTCTCGGGCAACGACGGTGTCGAGAGATGTTTTCAGCTCTGGCATGATGACCCATCCACTTCTGATGACTTCAGCTCGCGAATGAGCGAACGGATTTGTTGTCGGTCGGGCTCGGTGCTTACCGCGGGCAGGGCGCGCCAGGATATGAAGTGTCGCAGCATGTTTGACGAGGCCAGCCGCCTCGCATTTCTGCCGCGCCGCTCGTCCCTCGGGAAGTGGAGGAGCCCAGTTCGGCCAATGGGCAAGCGCGTTCCTGGCCAGTGCCAGCTGACCAGCTCGGCGCCATGTTGAGGCCCTGCTGCGCAGGCGCTGCCTTATACAGGTGATGCTGCGGCCCCGCGGCCAAGGCCCGGGTTGCAACCGATGTTGTCGCTGCTTCATCAGGAAGCCCTCGCTCCTCGAGCTCCCCCAGCCCCAATGCTTCAAGCAGCGACGAAGTGTCCTGGCTCGCCTATAGGCCTGCCAAATAATGTTCTAAGAAGCTTTTGTGGTCTGAGCGACATGTTATTAGAACATGTCTGGCTGAGACTGTCTCGCTTTAACACATCGGACTGATGCTATGATGACCGTGTTCCTGTTCGGAACATGTTTGTGTTCTAGTCGTGGTAGGCCTATAGAAATGCCGGGACGGTCGGTCCCTGCTCAAATGATGGACGCGACCAGGCCGAGTTAAATGATCTACGCCTCTGGAGAGGCTGGCCGCAATGTTTGCTTGTTTTCCCGTCAGACTGCTGGCGGGGAGCGATATGACCAGCCGACTGCCCGGGCCAGAAGTTGGCGCTGCGAGCGTCTGCGGCTTCAGAGGCCCGCAAGCGCAGGAAGATGCAGGGAACTCCTGCGGGATCAGCTATGGGGGCGCATCGCTCACCGGAGCTTGGAAGCAATTTCCACATCAAATATTCCAATCCAGCAGAATGCATTTACTGGCAGCATTCCCGCGCGCTTGGATATGCAAGCGCGGATCTGGTCAGATGTTTGGCAGCAGCGCACCCGCCAATCAGCACGTCTGCGTATAAGGACAAAGAGAAGCCAGGTCGAGTCCACCGCTAGTGCCAATCACCCTCGAAGCGTTAGAGTCGCCTCTCAAATCCTTGCTCAGCGGAGGGGGGGGGAGGAGGCCCTGGCCTCGTCCCCCTCGGGCTCATCAGGGAAGCCACTGCAGCAGTAAAGCAGCAGAGTGTGTCAGATCTCCCGGTGGAGATGGAATCCTCAGCCGCCGTGCCTCTGCCCCAAGCCTTGGGCCTGATCGCCCAACTCGACAGACCCTACGGTGGTCTCCGGCCCAGAGCGCCCGCGGGTCTCGCCCACGTCGTCTTGGCGCGCGCGGCGCCCGCGTTTCGTTAGATGGGGCAAGAGCCGCCGCGGGGAAGCGAGCAAGTCGGTCGGGCGTTTTTGTTGAGGGGGGGGCTGGCGAGGCGGGGCGGTTGGTTGGGCGAACTCGAAAGTGAACTGGCCATTTTGAAAGGTTCCGAGGTTGGAGGAGGACTGAGATACCCCGCTACGTTGAGCGGTCACACAGAGATGCCCTCACGAGTTGATTCAGCAGTTGAGTTGCAGTGCTCCGCCAGGCCTCTTGCTCTCGCGGCTAGGGCGTACTCGGGCCAGGGGGTGCTCGCCCAACGCCAGGCTGCGCATGAGAGAGTTCCGCCAGCAGGAGGGGTTTTGCCAGGACGTGGCAAAGCAGTCCCCTTCTCGAGAGCACCTTATTTACGCTTGCTATGACGCGCATAATATCATTACTGCTCTGCGCCTCAGGCAGTGGATTGATGATTGTCTTCCTGAAGTTCTGGCGCAATCGGCTGCTGTTTTTCACCGTCATTCGCGCCCTAATTCGAGCCCTAGCCAGTTCCAAGTGCCAGCCTTCGTATCCCAAGTGTGCTTTGTGCTTTTCTCGCCTCTCATGTGTCTCTTGGGAAGCATCTCACCCAGGCAGCAGTGGGCGCGGCCCTTACTGACTTGCAGACAACGTTGCAGGCGCGAGATTCGGGCGATTTCACAACCTTTCTTCGCAGATGAGCGACCAAGGTGAGGCAGGTTAGGTTCCGCAAGGGTGCCAAGGCAGCAGGTGGGATCGCGCGTTTTGCCGGCAGTGGCACGCGCGCCCCTGCGCGGGGTCCCTGCGACTGCCAGCCCCGAGGGGACGCGGGCCTCGGAGTTTCGCGGGATCCGTCCGAGCAGTCTTGCTCGGCTCCAGCGTTGCGCCTCGCGCTGGCAGTCTTGCCGGTGGCCCAGGCGCGCCCCTGCAGCAGCAGGAGGAGGAGGAGGAGGAGGAGGAGGAGGAGGGGGAGGAGAGGAGGGGAGGAGGAGGAGGAGGAGGAGGGGGAGGAGGAGGAGGGGAGGAGGAGGAGGAGGAGGAGGAGGAGGAGGAGGAGGAGGAGGAGGACCTGCGCCGCCGCGGCGGTTCCTCGGTCTCTCGTGGCGGGCGGGGGTCCAGTGCTGGTCCCCTTCGGGCGCCTCGTCGCCGCCCCCGGCTGGTCCGACTCGCCAGACGTCCGGCCCCGTTGCCCGAGGTGCTCCTCCTCCTCCTCCTCCTCCTCCCTCCTCCTCCTCCTCCTCCTCCTCCTCCTCCTCCTCCTCCTCCTTCTCTGAACAGAGCGCGCCAGGGCTGGGGCCCGGCGAGAGGCCCAACGTCTGCGCTCCAAGCTTCGCCCCTCCGCCCTGGCTCGAGCGGCTCCAGCCCCCGAGAGTTCGCCAGACCGGTCGGTGGTTCTTGGCCGTTGCGAGAGGTTTGCGCTCGCCCAGCCGCGTCGCTTCTTGGGGCTCTCAATGAAGCTATCGAACGCAGTCGGTGGCTGGCCGCTTCCAGGTTCCATTTCGGAGAGGGCGCTAAGTGCGGAGATGCTTGGGATCGCGCTGGCGAGTTCGCCGGGAAGATCAAAGGCGACGATAAGCACGGTCCAGCATGCATGGTGCGCACTATAGTTTGAGGGGGCATTTGGCCAGAAAAGCGCAAGTGCGCCTGTGGTCTGGCTCCCAGCCACATCTGTCGACGCTGCCTACATCTGAGGCACCACAGCACAGGGTCTGGGAGTGCATGCGCAATGCAGATTGCCCACCCGAGGGTATCCAGCGCGGAGCACATAAGGTATGAAGCTTTTCAGGGGAGGAAAAACCAGCCGGACCGGACGATTGGCTTTTATTGAACAGCCCTGGGCGCTTACTAAACAGCCCTGCCCTGCTCGATTCCTTCTCTGGGCGGGTTTACAAGAAACCTCGCATGCCGGGGTGGCTACTATCGGGGTGGATGTTATGCCCTCTACTTTGGCGGGATGCTAAGCACCCACACTTCTTGCTCGGGGTGCGGGCTCATCCCTCTAGATTGGCATTGCCCCGCTCCGACTCCCCCCATCGCGCCTTTCGGCGCAGTGTGGCTGCGGGCCCGCGCCTTCGTGCATCTGGAAGAGACTCGTGGTTCTGCTTGCTCGGGGGGATTGACTCAAAGCCACTGCTTCGCGGTATAGCTTCTAGTCTTTTTGAGATTGAGACAGATTGGGAAGGAGAGCCCTCCTCCGCGTTTGGAGTCGCAGATGTCTGTGACAATGCGCGGCAGACTGTCCCCAGTGCTTAGCTCGCGTCTATTGTGGAAGTATTTCGGCATGTAGTAGTAGAGATAGTCCGAGATGCTGTGAATCACGTGAAACATCCAAGAGAGAGGGCGCAACCATTGCCTCGGACCAACAAGCGATGATGCGCGGTGGTAGTTTGCGACGACTGCTAGCACACGCGCAGCCAACCCCACGCTCCACCACGTGGCTCCCCATCTCAAGAAGCCAGAAAACTTTAAACGTTTCTGAAAGACTGCCGACCCCTACAAGGTTTGTATAAACCGAGCATCCGACGAGCTAGCAGATCGGCGAGCGGCTTTGTGCCAGAGTCCTGTTGCGCAGTGTCAAACACGGCCGGCCTTGGAACATGAGGCCAAGCGGGTGATTTTGCGCATTGCCACCAACACGATGGAAGTTGCCATCAGGCCGAAGAGCAAAGACAGGGCCGCTGCCAAAGCCATGGCCCCCCGGCCCACGGCACTTGGACGGAGAACGATCGCCTCTGATGCCAGTCCGCAGCGCAGAGTGTGGAGGGAGGGAGGGGGGACCCAGCCAGGTTCTTGGCAATGCGCAGAGTGTGGAGGGAGGGAGGGAGAGAGGGAGGGGGGGGAGGGAGGGAGGGAGGGAGGGGGGCAGGGAGGGAGGGATGGAGGGGGGAGTGAGGGAGGGAGGGAGGGAGCGAGGGGCCTCCATGTCAGGGTGTAAGTTCTGAGGCTTTCGGGGCCGCTCCCCGTCGGCCCGCCCTGCCCTGGCCCCACGGGAAATCCGCCCCGCCCCCCGGAGGTCGCCCCTTGGTCGAGCCCGCGGGGCCCACTGGGGTCTCCGTGTGGCGTGAGCTAGGCACGGGGAAGCCGCCCGTGCTCGCTGACCACCTTGCTTGTCGTAGCGGGGCAGCAGCTTCTACTTTGTTTTCACGCACTGCGGCCCAAGGGTGATCCGGACTTTTGTTTGGTTTGTGCTGGGCTTGGGCCGATCACGCACCAGTCATCCTTCGAGTTGGGTGCGCTGCGGCTCTTCAAGGCCCCCCGCGAGGCTCCTAGTAGTTGCAGGCCTTGCAGAGAGCACGTAGGCGATTGTCAACCCAGCCGAGTTCGCGCGTTTGGAGCCGATGCCAGCAGATCCTGTTTGAGCCTGACAATCAGGAATCGCCACCAACTTCGCCCCCCCCACCACCTGGGGCGCTTGGGAGTGCAGGCGTGCCCGCAGCCAGTCATATGGAGGAGGAGGAGGCGGAAGAGGAGGCGGAGGAGGAGGAGGAGAAGGAGGAGGAGGAGGAGGAGAAGGAGGAAGAGGAGGAGGACAAGTTCATGTCACAAGCTCGGCTGGATGACCCAGCCGTTGTTGCCGCTTTTGGCAGGCCTTCTCTGTCCCTGCGGCGCGTGGTGGAGGAATTTGCGCGCCAAGGATGACGAGGGGCCTCTTGTCCAACGCCGCGGGGAGCTGGATGGATGCTTTGCGGATTGAGGCGCGCTATCCCGCCTTGGGTTTTTGCGTGTAGGATGTCCCCATGCACCGCCCTGGTGTTGGGCTGAACAGCGTTTTTTGTTTCTCCCCTCCCTGCAAGTGCCCGTCACTCCCACTCATTAAGTTTCAACCTGGCTTCCGCAGCTTCGCTCAATGAAGCAGACAGTCAAGCCCTCGGTTGGGACGAGAGATTTCGCCCTTGGCCGCTTGATCTTCTCCAGCCTTGTTCTCGATATGTTCCCTCCTGCGCTGCTCGCCCGCATCGATCTTTCTTTTTCTCCCCCCGTCTGCGCCGTCTTCGTGTACATCCCAGCCTTTGCCGCATGATCTTTTTCTCCGCTACGTTTCTCCCCTCCCTTTCCGTGCCTCTTGTTTGCTTGGGACGTTTGGGATATCTTATCTGCCGCGCCGCTCGTCATCATAGAGTGTCCCTCTCCTCTTGCTTCCAGAAAGATGCCACTTGGGGCAGGAACAGAGGGCCCGAACAGCATGGTGACCGGCTCGTTGAGTTCTGACCCCCCCCGGCCCACACTCCTCCTCACCCCGCCCCCGCTTCCTCCGGCGAGCGGCGGCGGCGGGCGGCTGCGCGGCGACGCGCAGCCAAAAATGCCCGTCGCCAGCCAGTGGCTGCTCCAACAGGGTCTGCCCAGCGGCGGACTGGTGGGGCCCGCTGGACCAGTCGACTGCATCACGGGAGTACACCATCTAACATCGTTTCCGGTCTACGCTGACCCGACCTGCCGGCCAGTGCCCGCGGTGCCCGAAGAAAACAGGAAGAGAACGAGGAGGGTATGGGGGATGTTGATAATGATGATAATAATGATGATAATAATGATGATGATGATGATGATGATGATGATGATGATGATGTTGATGATGACGATGATGATGGTGATGATGGTGATGATGATGATGATGATAGTGAGAATGAGAATGATAACGATGGTGACGATGTTGATGTTGATGTTGATATTGATGACGGTGCTGATGCTGATGCTGATTGTTATGATGATGATTGTGGTGGTGGTGATGATGATTATGATGATGATGATGATGATGATGATGATGATGATGATGATGGTGATGGTGTTGGTGTTGGTGCTGGTGTTGATGATGATGATGATGCTGCTGATGATGATGATGATGATGATGATGATGATGATGATGATGATGATGATGACCAGGAGGAGGAAGAGAGGAGGGAGAGGAAGAGGAGGAGGAGGACCAGGGATGAGGAATTCGAGGACGAGGGGGGGAGACCAGAACAAGGAGAGGAGGGAGTGGAAAGACCCAGAGACCCGATGCCGTTTTTTGGTCCATGTGCGGCTCTACATTTCTGTCCCATACCGTTTCTGGACGTCAAGAATTTTGAAAAATACGTCTTGATCTGTTACAGACGCAAGTTCTAGGCGTCCGCCTTGCAATCTGGGTTGCTCACTCGAGGCCGCCCGCCCGGGCCACATCCGCGGTGCGTTCCAGTAGCCCCAGGAGGCTCCAAGAAATGATCCAGAGGCTTCCAGAAGCCCAACCCCAGATTCCCGGGGTGCCGATGTTCTCCGCGCGGGGGTCCTCGGAAGCCCCGCCCCCTGTCCCAGGGATGCCCTTCTCATCCGATGGGCCCCGGGGGCACGGCGAAGGCCCCGTGGAGGCCGCAAGTCGTCCTGTGCTGTGTGTGTTGTGTGTTGTGTGTGTTGTGTGTGCTGTGTGTGCGTGCGCGCGCCACGTGGGAGGTCTGCGACCCTCGCCCGTCGACCCCCCGCGTGCCCTCGAGAAGCAGTCCTTAGAGGCAGCGTGTGACTGCACAGGTGCCCATCGGCCAGAGTCTCGATTATTCTTAATGTTTCAATGTAAATCCTAAGATTTGGATAGAATTTTTGGGATTGTATTCAAGTTCTGAGACTATGAATTTCTTAACCCATGATTTCTTGAGCATTTCGCAGGGTGTAGGTATTTGGGGACTCCCAGTGCCCAGTGTACTTTAGCCGCCTTCCTGCCTCAAGAGTCGCGTGTGGTGCTCCCTCTTCCCTCCTCTACGGGAGGCGGGCGGAGACCCGATCTGCTTCCGACGCCCTCCTGCTTCATGGATCTGCCTGCTTTTTCCGACCGATGGGCGATCTGGACCAAGCGGCCAGGGCCAGCCCTTGCACTCTTTCCGGCCCTGGTCGGTTTCTTTTCGTTGTTCAGCCCTGGCAACCACGTCCCAATTGTTTCGGGCTTGCTCCAGCGCCTGTTTTTTTCCCAGCCAGTTTCATTGAATGTCCAACATCCACTGTTTCAGGCTTTTTTCTGGATCTTTGTGTAAAATGCAACAAACAACAACGGCTGTGCCGCGGCCCGCAGGGGAGGGCACTGCCCCTCCCGTCGGCAGGCGCGGCCGGTGGTGCCAGGCAGCCAGTGCAGCACGCCCGCCGCGGCGGTCGCCGCAGGGGGCGCCAGCCCCGCGCGCGGCGAGGGCGCCGGGAGCTCGGTCCTCTGTTTCCCCACCCCACCTGGCGCGTATGTATACATATCTGTACATACACAGAGACAGACAGACACACATGCATACATACAGGCATACATACACAGTTCTATGCATATACGTACGCATGCATCCATACATACATACGTACAGACGTGCATGCATACATTGAAACATACAAGCATACATGCATGCATACACACGTGTACGTGCATGCCTGCATACATGCATTCATACATAAATCCACATGTGCGTGCATGCATACATGCATGCATATATACATACATGCAAAGATAGACGCATACGTGCAGACATGTATACATACGTACATACATACATACAGACAGACAGACAGGCAGGCAGACATACATACACATATGCATATATATACATACATACATACATACATACATACATACATACATACATACATACATACATACATACATACATACATACATACCTGCATACGTACGTATATACATGCATGCGTGCATGCATACGTACAGACATACATACATCCATACAGGTATGCATGCATGCATACATGCAAGCACGCATGCATGCATGCAGATATACATACCTAAACGTGTACATACACACATCCATGAACACAGACATACAGACATACCGAAATACATACATACATGTATACATGCATGCAAACATACATACCTCGCGTGCGCGCCCACTCGCGCGCGCGCGCGCCCGTCGTTCACTCGCCCTCGTGTTTTGCGGGTGCCCTCCACGTCCCTGGCCCCGTACACGTTGCTGGGTCCAGCCCAGGGGCTGACTTTCGGTCCACACATCATCGCCCCCACCGTGCACTACACCAAGACTTTCGAGGGAAGCGCAGCGAGTTTTAAGTCTTGCGCATCTACATATATACATGCATTTGCGCGCATATACGTACACACATATACATACATAGATGTTCAAAGCCAATCCTGAACTGATCCGATCCCCACCCCGCCCAGCGGGCCCCGGTGGGTGTCTGGTCCGGTCCCCACCCCAGCCCGCCCCACCCGCCCACACCTCCTCTAACCTAACAAACTCTGCACGGCCCTAGCGCACCCCTCTCATGCCCGAGCCAGCAGCCGCCAAACATTTAGACGTTGAGAATTGTTGCGGGGAAGAATGAAGTTGAGAAGTACAGTGGGGCATACGCCACACCTTTGGGGTCAGCGCGCGAGTGGCGTAGAACGCTTCAACTTCAAACCTGCTCGTTCCCCTTTCGGGGAAGAGCTTGTCTGCCCCCTCGCTTCCTCAGTCGGGAGGTCGTGGATTAAGCAACACCCACATCAGGGGAAGAAGAGGAGCCGATGCCGCTTCTCGTCCTGGAGAGCCCTTGTCGATTTCATCATTGACTAGTGCAGCTCCCACTACCACTTCTCGAGCTCCAGTCGGGCTGGTCATTCGGGGCGGTTGCCCGTCGGGGCCTGGGCCTCGTCGGGCATGCTCTGGCGCCGCTGGACTCTGTGAGGCTCGAACTCTTCTCCTCACGCACGCCGACAGGGTGGACGGATTTCAGGGCCTCCTAATTTAGCGGATCGAGCTTCGGGGATCTACAGTCGAGAATCGACACGTTTTGAGAGTCATTTCTGCGTTAGGGGGGGGCTTTGGCCGCGGCTGGCCTCGCTCCCTTTCAGAAGGGACGCCCAACTGTTTACGCTTCGCGAGTCCCCGCCAGCCAATCCAGAAGCCCGGCCCACGAGAGCTGACGGGAAATGGGACGAAGAGACACACATAGTGAAACAGAGCGCGCAAGGAAAGGAGAGGAGGGAGGGTATTGAGCCATCCTGGAGGCTATCTTGGAGCATCGGCGACCTTCTTGGAGCTACAGGGCTGCATTGGGGGATATTGGGGGGCTCTCTGGGGGGTCTTGGGGTCCTCTTGGGGTTCTTTTGGGCGCCCTGGGGCCCTCATGGGGCCCTCGCGGGGCTCTCTTGGGGCTCTCTTGTGGCCCTCTTGGGAGCTATGGAGCGCCTTCTGGGGCCATCTCAGAGACCCCATCGATCGAAGGAGGGGGGGTCCTCGACTTCCCTCCCCCCGGGCCATCGAAACAGCCTCTTGGGGCGCTCTTGGGGCCCTCTTGGGGCGATCGTGGGCGATCTTGGGGCAGTCTTGGGGGACCTCTTGGGCCTTTTTTGTAGCTCTCTTGGGCCATCTTAGGGCCATGTTTAGGCGTCAAAGCGCATCGGAAACGAAAAGGCGAGAAGGCAACAATCCGTGAATTCCCTTCGGTTTTTGAAGGATGTTGGCTTCCCGGGCAGGTCCTGAAGGGTCGCCAGTAGCACCTGGAACCGTCTTGTGGCCCTCTTGGGGCCTCTTGGAGGCATGATGTTAGCTATCCTGAGCGATCTTTGAGGCCATCTTGGGCTCTCCGAGGCCCTGTTGGAGCCAGATCAGGCTATCTTGGACGTCCTTACCGCTCGCGAACCCCCCCGTTCAAGTCCAGGAGAGGGGGTGGGGGGAGGGGTCAAGCTTCCCACCCGCCCGCAAGCCGTTTAGCTCGCTCCCACCCGCCCTCCCAACACAAATGTAACCCGAGCCTGAGCATGTTCAGCGATCGTCTTTGGATGGGCAGCTCCCGGGAACCAAAGCCGACCCCAGGTGAACGACGCTTGGGCGAGGTGCGCCACGCGTGCCAGGGGCGCCACGCGCGCCAGGCACCCCTCGGGCCCGAGCGTGCCAGGCACGCCTGGTGCGCCAGATGCGCCACGTGCTCCGAGTGCGCCAGGTGTGCCGCATGCTCCAGCCGCGCCAGGTGCGCCACGTTCGGTGCACGTGCAAAGTGCGTCAGGTGCGCCTGCGCACGTGTCAGCATACGTCGGGAAAGACGTAGCAGCAATAGTACTCGCAATAATACGAGTAATAGTTGTTTCAAAAAAAAAAAAAAAAAAAAAAAAAAAACGTACGATAATGTTACCAAGCATGAGAATCATATGCATAATAATCATAATCGTAGCAATAGTAATAACAATAACGAATAGTACAGAGGAGTTCGGCTTTACAACGTGTAAAGTGGCTTTACAACGTGTAAGTGCTGGTCGGTTGAAGTTGGTTGGTTTCTGGTTGGAAATGCGGCCTAAACACGTGTAGCGTGAGCGGCTAGGACGCCCAGAACAACCCATGACCAACCAGAAAGCAACCAGAAGTCAACCAGATGCACCTACACGGTGTCAAGCCGATCTCGGTTGGCTTGTGGTTCGTTCTGGTTGGAAATGGGGCCAAGACCCGTGTAACTTGGCTGGCGGGTGCCTGCCAACCAGAGGCAACCAAAAGCCAACCCACTGGCTGGCACTGGCTGGCAGGCTGGCTGGCTGGCTGGCGGGCTGGCTGGCAGCTGGCTGGCCGGCTGGCTGGCGGCTGGCTGGATGGCTGGCTGGCAGGCTGGCTGGCGGGCTGGCTGGCTGGCTGGCTGGCTGGCTGGCTGGCTGGCTGGTGGCTGGCTGGCTGGCTGGCTGGCTGGCTGGCTGGCTGGCTGGCTGGCTGGCTGGCTGGCTGGCTGGCTGGCTGGCTGGCTGGCTGGCTGGCTGGCGGGCTGGCTGGCGGGCTGGCTGGCGGGCTGGCTGGCTGGCTGGATGGCTGGCTGGCTGGCTGGCTGGCTGGCTGGCTGGCTGGCTGGCTCGAGCTGGCTGGTGGCTGGCTGGCTGGCTGGCTGGCTGGCCCCTGGTTGACTTCTGGCTGGCTGGCTGGCTGGCTGGCGGGCGGGCTGGCTGGCTGGCTGGCTGGCTGGTCGGCTTGCTGGCTGGCTGGCTGGCTGGCTGGCTGGCTGGCTGTCTGGCTCAAGGCGGCTCAAGGCGGGGGAGGGCCGCGAGGCCCGCCGCCCTCCGCCCGCCGCCCTCCGGCCGCACGGCCGACGGGGGCGCCGGCGGCCGATGGCCCCGAAGAGGCGGCCAGGCGCGGCACCCCCTCGCGCCGCGGCCCTGCGCGCCCTGCGCGCTGGGCGCGCTGGCCGGGCGCGGCATGCCGGCCGCGCCGCTGAGCTCCGCGCCGGCGGGCCTCGCCGGGCCAGTGCGCGGCGGCGGCGGGCCGGCCGCCATCCCGATGCAGCCGAAGGCCGACGACCACGACGACGACGACGACGACGACGACGACGACGACGACGACGACGACGACGACGACGACGACGACGACGACGACGACGACGACGATGACACGACGGCGGCGGCGGCGGCGGAGGCAGGCGGCGCGGGCCGGGCGGCGGGCGGCGGCTGCGTGGCAGCTGCGCCGCCGCCGCTGCCGTCGCAGCCGTCGTCGCCGTCGTCGTCGTCGTCGTCGTGTCGTCGTGCTGGCGAGCTTGGGCTCGGGACTGGCTGGATGCTCCGGTGGCTGGCTGGCTGGCTGGCTGGCCGGTGGTGTCGGCTGGCTGGCTGCGGGCTGGCTGGTGGTGGCTGGCTGGCTGGTGGTTTGCTGGATGCTGGCTGGCTGGCTGGCTGGCTGGCTGTCTGGCTGGCTGTCTGGCTGGTTTGCTGGCTCGCTGGCTGGCTTGCTGGGTGGCTTCTGGTTGACTTCTGGCTGGCTGGCTGGCTGTCTGGCTGGCTGGCTGGCCGTCCGGCTGCCTGGCTGGCTGCCTGGCTGGTTGGCTGGCTGGGCCCTGGTTGACTTCTGGTTGACTTTTGGCTGGCTGGCTGGCTGTCCGGCTGGCCGGCTGGCGGCGGCGGCGGCGACGACGACGACGACGACGACGACGACGCCGACGCCGACGCCGACGCCGACGACGACGACGACGACGACGACGACGACGACGACGACGACGACGACGACGACGACGACGACGACGACGAGGCGACGACGACGACGACGACGACGACGACGACGACGACGACGACGACGACGACGACGACGACGACCGACGACGACGACGACGACGACGACGACGACGACGAGACGACGACGACGACGACGACGACGCGACGACGACGACGACGGCGACGGCGGCGGCGGCGGAGGGTTGGTGGCAGGCTGGTCTGGCTGGCTGGCGGGATTGGCTGGC